GCGACACACACCCTACCGGGGCAGCCCGCTTAGGTTGAGTCCGCTGGCTGCCGCCTTCCTTGCGTAACAGATTTGTTTTGCTGAGCAAGGCCGGTAGCGGACTCGCGCTTCGCCCACCCCACCCCCCGACTCTGAAGGAGGAAGGGCAAAGGCGAGATATATCGAGCGTTTGTCCACGGCGATTTGGGCCCAGTGACCGGCCGCCTATCTGACCGGGCCGCGTCGCGGCCCGCTACCTTACATCGAGACAGAAAAGGTTCCACCCTTTACTATTGAGAGGCATCATCGCCGCTCACGCGGTTCCTTCCCACTTCCGGCACTATGTTTAATGCGACGCATCAGGGTTGGACGTTTGCTTCGCCTTGGGCGAAGCATCTGGTTGGGCCCTCCGACCAGCTTTAAACTGGACCTGGACAGGGCCGTTCGCGAGCGGTCAGAGCGCCCGAGATGGCTCCAACAAGGCCCCAAAGAGCTAAAGACGGCCTCCATGATCGCTGAAGATAGCCCAACATGGCCAAGCATAGCTTGCAACAGACCTCCGAGAGGCTTCGAGATCGTTCCAAAACGGTTCTAAACGGCCAAAAGGCCTCCCAAGGACGCCCCGGAAAGGCCGCCAACCGTCCCAAACCCAACAGAAATTAATGTTTTTGTTTGCCCTCTCGCCTTTTCGCTTCCGACGGGCTTCCGACGGGCTTCTGAAGTTTCGAGATGGCTCCAGGCTGGGCCCAGAGTTCCCAAGAGAAGCCCAAAACGGCCCCAAGAGCACCCGAGACCGCCCCAAGAGCGTCGGAAGTTTCAAGAGAGCTCCAAGAGGCGATTTCGAGGGTTCCGACGGGGGGGTCCGAATTGAGGCCGCCTTCTTTGTTGGTCGATGGCCTCCAAGATGGCCCAAGAGGGGCCCCGGATGGCTCCACCAGGATGGCTTCAAGAGCGCCCAGAGAGGCCTCCAAGAGGCCGACGCCCTTCTGAAACCCCAATTCGCTGGCCCAACGGGCCATAGGCGCCTTGAAATCTCAGGCACCTGGTAAACGGTACCTGCCCAAACCGTCCTCGCCGCGCACGCGGAATCCAAAGCTGAAGCTAGAACGGCAAATTTGCAGCGGGAAAAAATGAAGTCAAAACAATTGCAACGCAATCAAATACTGCAATTCTGATCATGGTGATTGGCGCCGCTTGCTTCAGACCCTCCCTGGACCCCGAACCGCTCGCGCCTCGCACGCGGAATCCAAAGCTAAATCTAGAACGGCAAAATTGCAATGCACAAAATTGCAATGCAAAAACTAATTGCGATGCAAACAAAGATGTAATTCTGATCATGGTCGTTGGCGCCGTGGGCTTCAGATCATCCCTGGACCTCCCCGAACCGCTCTCGCTCGCACGCGGAATCCAAAGCTGAAGTTGGAAAGGCAACGTTGCAGTGCGAAAAAATGCAATGCAACAAAAATGCAATGCCTGAAAAATACAATTCTGATCGTGGTCGTTGGCGCCGCGCGCTCCGGGCCCTCCCTGGACCCTCCCAAACCGCTCTTGCCTCGCACGCGGAATCCAAAGCTGAAGCTAGAACGGCAAAGCTGCAATGGAAACAAATTCCAATGAAAAAGAAACTGCGACGCAAAAAACAATTGTAATTATGATCATGGTGGTTGGCGCCGTGGGCGTCAGACCCTCCCTGGACCTCCCCAAACCGCTCTCGCCTCGCGCGCGGAATCCAAAACTGAAGCTAGAACAACAAAATTGCAATGCAACAACCTCTGCAATGCAAAACAAGTTGCAATGCAAAAGCCCTGCTATTACGATCATGGTGGTTGTCGCCGTGGATTTCAGATCCTCCCTGGACCCCCCCAAACCGCTCTCGCCTCGCACGCGGAATCCAAAGCTGAAGTTAGAAAAGGCAAGCTTGCAATACAAACAAAAAATTGCAATGCAAAACAAACTACAATGCAAAACAAGCTGTAATTCTGATCATGGTGGTTGGCGCCGTGGACTTCAGACCCTCCCTGGACCCCCCCAATCCGCTCTCGCCTTGCACGCGGAATCCAAAGCTGAAGCTAGAACGGCAAAGCTGCAATGCAAACAAACAATTGCAATGCAAAACAAACTGCAACGCAAAACAATATGTAATTCTGATCATGGTCGTTGGCGCCGCGGGCTTCAGACCCTCCCCGGACCTCCCCAAACCGCTCTCGCCTCGCACGCGGAATCCAAGGCTGAAGCTAGAACGGAAAAGTTGCAATTCAACAATTGCAATGCAACAAACACTTCGTTGCACAAAAACATGTGATTTTGATCTTGGTCGTTGTCGCTGTGGATTCCAGACCCTCCCTGGACCCCCAAACCGCTCTTGCCTCGCACGCGGAATCCAAAGCTGAAGCTACAATGGTTGCAATGTAACGAAAAAAGCAATGCAAAGCAATTGTAAATCTGATCATGGTCGTTGGCGCCGCGGGCTTCAGATCCTCCCTGGACCTCCCCAAGCCACTCTCGCATGGCACGCGGAATCCAAAGCTGAAGCTGGCACGTCAAAGCTGCAATGCCAAAACAATGCTCTACAACAAACAATGCAATGCAAGAAAACCTGCAATTCTGATCATGGTCGTTGGCGCCGTAGGCTTCAGACCCTCCCTGGACCTCCCCGAACCGCTCTCGCCTCGCACGCGGAATCCAAAGCTGAAGCTAGAACGGCAAAGTTGCAGCGCAAAAAATTGAAAAAACTACCATGCAAACAAATACTGTAATTCTGATCATGATGATTGGCGCCGCTTGCTTCAGACCCTCCCCGGACCTCCCCAAACCGCTCTCGCCTCGCACGCGGAATCCAAAGCTGAAGCTAGAACAACAAACCTGCGATGCAAACAAAAAACTGCAATGCCAAAAATCTGCAATGCAAGACATACCGCAATGCAAAACAAGCTGTAACTCTGATCGTGGTTGGCGCCGTGGGCTTCAGACCCTCCCTGGAGCTCCCCAAACCGCTCTCGCCTCGCACGCGGAATCCAAAGCTGAAGCTAGGACGGCAAAGCTGCAATGCAAAAAATGCAAAAAACAAATGCAATGCAAACAAAAACTGCATGTCGGTCGTCGCCGCGGTGGTTTGCGCTGCCTCGCCGGATCCCTCCAAACCACTCTCCCCAAGATCCAAAGGCTGCAAGACGAAGTTCAAACCAGACCAACCAGACCAGCCAGACCAGATGCAAAAAAAAATGCATTTCGGTCGTCGTCGTGGTGGTTGGCGCTGCCTCGCCAGATCGCCCTAAACCTGTCTCGCCCAGATCCTAAGCTAACGCTGCAAGACGAAGCTCCAACCAGACCAACCAGACCAGCCAGACCAGATGCAAACAAAAACTACAATGCAAAACTGCAAAGCAAAAACAAGCTGCAATGCAAACAAGAACTGCATTTCGGTCGTCGTCGTGATGGTCGGCGCTGCCTCGCCGGATCTTCCCTAAACCACTCTCGCCCGACGAAGCTCCAACCAGACCAACCAGATCAGCCAAACCAGATGCAAAAAAACAGCTATGCAAAAAAAAATGCAAAGCAACACAAAAAATGCAATGCAAACAAAAATTGCATTTCGGTCGTCGTCGTGATGGTTGGCGCTGCCTGGCCGGATCCCCCTAAACCTGTCTCGCCCGTATCTTAAGCTAAGGCTGCAAGACGAAGCTCAAACCAGACCAAAATCCGCAATGCCAAACAACAACTGCATTTCGGTCGTGGTGGTGGTTGGCGCTGCCTCGCTGGACCTCCCCTAAACCACTCTCGCCCGGATCCTAAGTTAAGGCTGCAAGACGAAGCTCAAACCAGACCAACCGGACCAGAGCTAGGCTTGCTCTTTATAAGCTTGGCGCCCCGCCGTGCGCTACTCGGCTGAGAGCTTTACTTTTTTGAGGCCCGCGGAAAGTGAGTCCCATCGCTCCTGGTCTGCCGTTTTGTACACCTTAGGCGATGCTTAAGAAAGCTTAAATTTTCGGCCAGAGTCTCGATTATTCTTAATGTTTCAAGGTAAATCCTAAGGTTTGAATGGAAATTTTGGGTTTTTATTCAAGTTCTGAGACTCTGAATTTCTTAACCCATGATTTCTTAAGCATTTCGCAGGGTGTATGGTAGCTCGATGATTGTATCCCAGGGGTGCCCCGACCGACCCATAGCAAACCGACCCCTTCGGCGGCGACCCCCTCGCCCGCACCCCAAGAGGTGGGCGGGCGGCCGGAGGGGAGCCTCGAGGGCGAGGGGCTCGTTGCGGAAGGCTCTCGCCACGAGAGCTTGCTTCGGCCGCGCCTGGGCATCGAAGGCTCTCGAAGGAGGTTCTCACCACCCACCAAACCACCCCAACCCAACCCGAAGGCTCAGATTTACCCTCGATTTCCAGTGGGGGGGGGTCGGGAAACATCGAAAAAACACATGTGGAACCCTTAACCCCCCCAACCCGAAATTCGGGTCTTCGGGTTGGGTTGGGGTGGTCTGGTAGGTAGTCAGGTTCCGGTTCCGGTGAGGTATCGGCGGCCTGCTCATGTCTCGGGGGTTGTCGGAGACCATCCGGGGCGTTCTGGAGCGCCTTCGGAGGTTTCCAGAGGAGTAAAGTAGCACCCTCGGAAGTCGGAAGCCGTGGAAGAGCACGGCCAGCGTTTTGTTGCCTCGGCTTTGGACCCAGGGACCCTCGCTGATCGATCGGGCTCCAGAAATCACGTGGGAAGGTGGGGTCGAGGGCCTCTGGCCGTGATTTCGCCGCGACATTGAACATGTTGTCGACCAGACGTCATGCTTCGGGGCCCGCTCTCCAAAGTTCTTAGCCTCTGCGGGGCTCGGGGACGAGCGCGCGAAGGGTAGAGAGTAAAGATGTATCAGAAAAGTTTCGGGCGGGGCCCGGGGCTGGGGCGAGACATCCTCCAGGGCCGCTGGATCTCAGATGTTCTTTCTCGATTTATCCTCGCCCGATGCTATCCTCGTCCTGGCTTCGTTTTACTGTATCAGAAAGTTCGAATCCCGTCTTCCCCACCCTCGAGGGGGAGAGCCTCACCTCGAAGCCGCTGCCCGTCCGCCTGGCGCCGGGCACCAGAGTCGAGGAGCTGGAGGTGTCAGGTCGGGCGCAACGTAAGGGGGGGGATTGGCTCAGGGTGGAATATAGCCAGGACCCCGGCCAAGGGGAACCAGCTAGTGATGGGGACCCGAACCCCCAAACATAGACGATAATGACTCAGCCAAGTCTTCCGTAGCTGGTGTTTCTTCGGGTGACGGCAGTTCCTGTTATAGTGGAAGGGGCCCGGGGGGGCGCCCCCTGGTAAGGATTCCTGAACCAGGTCCCACTAAACCCAGTCACGCCAACGCCCGACAGGGGGGAATGCGTCGGCTCCCCCATCACCCACGAATCGCTGATAGGGGCTTGATGGCTCAGCCCGCCCAGGAACGTGCTGCCTCGCTGCGGGGGGGACCATCATCGGCGATGCATCGCCGATTCCAGGTCGATGTGCTCATCCCCTGAGCCAGTTCCTCCTAACGTTCCCCCTCGCCAGGGGATCGGCTGCACTATAAGAGAATCCGCGGCAACGGGCCCGACTTCGGGTGGGTCAGCGTCGAGGCCGACGGGCGAGCGCTGCTGGAGCGGGAGGTCTGACGGCCTCCCTGGCCCCCGCGCAGCAGAAAAAAGACCGCGGTAGTCTCAGGAGGGAAAAAAACACACAGACACAATTAATCGTCGACTCCCAGGAAAATATGGGAAAATGTGGGAATTGGGGGGGAAGACAAAAACCCAGAAAATATAGGAAAATATGGGGACTATTTTTATTTGTTTGTATTTATTTGTGTGTTCTAATTTCCCTTTATAGTCGTCGCCCCCGCTCAGCGGCGAACGGCCGACGGTGAGGCCTGTGGCCACCTGCCACGCCCGAGCGACACCCAGTGCCACACGGCGCTCGGGCGCGCCACCGGTCCAGGGGTCGCCTTCTCCTCCCGAGGGGCGAGGGTCCTCCTCCTCCTCCTCCTCCTCCTCCTCCTCCTCCTCCTCCTCCTCCTCCTCCTGCCGCTCGGCGCGCCCCCCGAGGGGCGAGGGGGCGCCGAGGCGAGGGCCAGCGGCCTTCGACGAGGCAGGGGGGCCTCTCAGGAGCTCCCTCCTGCCGTCGGGGAGCCCTCGCAGGATGGCCCCAGGACCATCCTTCCGGGGCGACCCCCCCCGCCGTCTTGGAAGTCCGCCCCTCTCGTCCCGCCCCCTCGTGTGCGCCGCCAGTTCAGCAGGCGTGCGCAGCGGAGCGAGGGCTCTGGGAGTCCCGCGGCCCCCGTCCTCTGGCGAGCTCGGGTCGTCCCAGAGTGCGAGTTGGTGATTGATCCATACACCTTAGGCGATGCTTAAGAAAACTTGAGTTTTCGGCCAGATTCTCGATTGTTCTTAACGTTTCAATGTAAATCCTGAGTTTTTAACAGAAGTGTTGGGTTTTTATTCAAGATCTGAGACTCTGAATTTCTTAACCCATGATTTCTTTAGCATTTCGCAGGGTGTATCCACCGCCTGGGGGACCGTTGCCTGGGACCCCAGGGTGATGTAAATGTATACATATAACAGGGGGCCGGGTCCGGGCCCCCGGGGCCGCGACTTCTACCACAAGTCTGTGTTGTGTGTTGTGTGTTGTGTGTTGTGTGTCTGCGAGTGTGTGTGTGTGTGTCTGTGTGTCTGTGTGTCTGTGTGTCTGTGTGTTTGCGTGTTTGCGTGTGCGTGTGTGCGTCTGTGCGTCTGTGCGTCTGTGCGTGTGTGCGTGTGTTTTGTGTGTGTGTTTTGTGTGTGTGTTTTGTGTTTGTGTGCGTGTGCGTGTGCGTGTGTGCGTGTGTGTGTGTGTGTGTGTGTGTGTGTGTGTGTGTGTCTGTGTCTGTGCGTGTGCGTGTGCGTGTGCGTGTGCGAGTGCGTGTGCATGTGCGCGTGCGTGTGCGCGTGCGTGTGCGTGTGCGTGTGCGTGTGCGTGTGCGTGTGCGTGTGCGTGTGCGTGTGCGTGTGTGCGTGTGTGTGTGTGTGTGTGTGTGCGTGTGTGTGTGTGCGTGTGTGTGTGTGCGTGTGTGTGTGTGTGTGTGCGTGTGTGTGCGTGTGTGTGTATGTGTGTGTGTTTGTGCGTGCGTGCGTGCGTGCGTGCGTGCGTGCGGGTGTAGTGCGCGGGCGTGCGCGGGCGTGCGTGCGTGCGTGCGTGCGTGAGTGCGTGCGCGCGTGTGCGTGTGTGTGTGTGTGTCTGTGTGTGTGTCTGTGTGTGTCTGTGTGTGTCTGTGTGTGTCTGTGTGTGTGTCTGTGTGTGTGTCTGCGTGTCTGTGTGTCTGTGTGTGTGTCTGTGTGTGTCTGTGTGTGTCTGTGTGTGTCTGTGTGTATGTGGAGGGGCCCGGCCGGACCTTGGGGGGCCCAAAATCGCCTTGGAGGGCGGTCCGATGAGCGTCACGGCGGCCCCTGCCAGCCGCCAGCCACCCTGAAGACGGTTTCGACGGATCACGGGACGTCTCCATTGGCCCCAGAGGTTTCGAAGACGCTTCATAACGCGTGCAATTTGCCTCCACAAGGGCCCGAGAGGGAAAAACAACCCAATCCTTTTCGTAAAACGTACATGTTTACCGTATTCGTGTTTTTCGTCTTCGCACCATCCTTGACGTCCTCAGTGGCCGCTAAGATCGCCCCTGCACGGCCCGAAAGGCCCCCAATAGAGCGCCAAGGCGGCCCAAGAGAGTCCCAGGCTGGTCCCAGAGGCACCCAAGACGGCCCCAACGGCCTCCCAGAGGGCTCTAAGGGGAGCCCAAGATGGGGCAATCCAATTGGAATTGCGAGCCCCACGACCTAAGAGGACCTCCGAGACTCCCAAGAGGCCCCTAAGCAGCCAACAAGAGGCCTCCAAGACGCCTCATCACTCATGCAATCTGATTCCCCAGAGCCCCGAGAGGCAAAAATGGCCCCATTCCCTGTCGTAAAACATACATGTTTACCGCATTCCTGGTTTTCGTCTTCGTACCGCCCTTGACAGCCTCGGGGGCCCCCACGAGCGCCCCAACACGGCCCAGGAGACCCCCAGAGGGCGCCAAGACGGCCCAAGAGGGTCCCAAGATAGTCCCAGAGGCAGCGGAGATGGCCCAAACGGCTTCCCAAATGGCCCCAAGAGGAGCCCGAACTGGGGAAATCCAATTGGAATTATTGACGCTTCGCGTATCCCCACCAGACTCCGTAGCCCCTTTGGCTCAAGCCTCTGGCTCAAGCCGTCTCTGGGCCCTGGCTCCTCGGCCGGGTCTCCCAGCTCAAGGGGTCATCCCCTAGGAGTTTGCGGGCCGCGCGCTGCCCCCCGGGCCGCGCTCCGGCCATATCAGACTCCCTGGGTTTCGCCCCTGCGGCGCGGCGCGGCAGCCAGCCTGCAGGTCAGGCTTAGCATGGATGGGAACCCGATCGACGACGGATCTAGGATTCCTGGGAACCCCGCGGGTGACGATGCAAGCCCAGTCGACGGCCAGGGGGCCCACGGACTGGCTGGTTCAAGACATCCTCCCCCAGGATCACAGGACACCACCCCGCCAGGGCAGCCGTCGCCCCTCGCTCCCTGGGACCCTCCGAGCTCGGGCGGTCCGAACGCGTCCGCGGACCCCTTGATCGTTCCCGTCGACTTAACATACACACGAGAACCATCGGCCTTCAGCCAGACGGGAGGAGGGGGTGCCACGGTTAGCGCCGCGAGACACATTGATATTGCGACCTTCAGTCGCTTCCCTGGGTTTGACATTTACAGTAACGACTCCTTCCCGCCAGACTTGTTTCCCTCCCTTACCCCGACACTTCCTCTGCCCCTGGCTGGGCGTTCAATTTCCTTCTCTCCTGGCGGTGAAGGGCAGAACTCTATCGCGCACGGCGATGCCAGGACCACGGGGGGCGGGGCGCTAGCCCCACTCCTGATCAAGCGCATCCCCCGACGGACTCAGGTCCATTTTGGCCGCGCAGGAGCTCCCGCCAGAGAGGCGCTCTCGGAGATCGCCCCGTTCCCGATGAAGAGCATCCCCCGAGAGGCTCAGGCCCATTTTGGCCGCGCAGGAGCGCCTGCCAGAGAGGCGCCCTCGACGATCGGCCCAGGAGCCTCACCGACGAGGGCGGGTGGCCTAGGGCTGAGGCCACCCAAGGGGGTGACTACGGTTACGACAGGTGGGGGGACGGACAGTCGTCTGCCCATGTCCCCGATCCGCATCCTATGGGCTTGCGCCTCCATTCCGCCGAACGTCCTCCCTTGGACGCTTCAATGCCGAGAGAAGCAGCCTTCAGCTGCGAAGGGGCCAATCTTCTAACCGTGGAGGCGGGCGTCCCAGTCGCGCAGCCGACTCCCCCCACGGACGCGAGCCGACGTCAAGACGGCTTTCGCCTTCCGCCCGCCGCCCTCCCTGGATGCAGCAGTGCGGTGCACACAGAAGATGGGCCTTCAGCCCGGGGGGCGCCGTGCGAGACAGCAGGTTTGGGCGAGTCTGTAGCTCGGGATGCTTCAAACGGACAGGTGGGCGCCGACGGCGACGCGGCGACCAGTCAACCCCCTGGTCACTCCCTTAATCCCGAGGACTCCCGTCCGTCACCCGCCCCCCAGTCGGACAGTCGCAGACGGGACGAGCCTTCAGCTCGGGATTCTCATGCGGGACGAGCCTTCAGCTCGAGGCTCCAAGGCGTATCTGACAATCACAGAAGGGACGAGCCTTCAGCTCGAGAACCAGAGACGGCGCCAGTGGACGCCGAGACCGCCGCAGAAGCTGTGACCACGAGTGGCGACGACACCGACCCTCCTGCCATCCCTGGTGAATCCACTAAGGGCCTCCCCCCATCAGGCGGATCCCCAAGCCAGCGGCGGGCGACCGACCGACCCCGCCGACGTAGTCATGGAGGAGACTGGCTCCACAACGGGGCCGCCCCAGAGAAGACGCTTCGAGGACCGCGCGGCTGGCACAGCCAGCGGTGCAAGCGGACCATTTGGCTGCCGCCATGACACCGCCGTTCCCCTCCCTGGAGACATGGGCACCGCTACAGCAGCAGCGCCCAGCTCCCGCGCCGCTAACCTCACCGACGGGATTGGCCTTCAGCCAGGAAGAAACGAGCAGGAGACAGTTGGGTTGGGCGACAGGGGTTACAGAGCGGCACGCCCCGCTGCCGACAACGCCGAAACGACCGACCGCGACCGACCTTCCCTGGTAACGACGACGGCGTTGTCTGCGGGCCGACTCCGCACGTCCGATGCCAGCAGGGTCTCCACAGACCCCGCCTGCGTGGCAGGTTCCCTGGTCGATCTGATCGATCACATCGGACCTCCGATCGTCGTCGCGGGATCGCCCTGCGTCTCCCTTTCCTCGCCTACCCGCTCCCCCCCCATCCACTCCTCCCCCGACTCACCCCCTGGGCTAGAGCATCCAGACGTCTTTCTGGGCGGTAGTGGCCACGGCTGCGAAGACCCGCCCCAAGGACTGGACCGTGGACCCCTCATCAGGACTGCCAACGGTTCTCCATTCGCGTTGAGGCGTGCGGCTCCCAGAACGCCCGTTACGCCCGCCCCACTCCCCTACCCTTCTCCGGACCTAGCCTTGGAGGAGGAACTGCGGAGGGAAAACAGGGCGCCCCCTCGGACGCCGAGGATGGCACCAGCCAGGCCCATAGAGATAGGGGACAGTACGCAACCGACCTGCACGCTCGATGGATGGACGCCACTGGGCACACTAACGCAGACTGGGCAGCCAGTCGAGAGGCTGACGGACCCATGTGTGGGCCGCGCGTTGCTGACGCTAGGGTCACTGGCAGGGGAGGCACCATGAATGCCCTCCGTCGCCACCTAGCGCGTATCGACGGCCCCTGGCGTGAAATTCCCGATCGAGGGGCGCCGAGAACACCACGCGAAACCAGTAACCTGGAGCTCCTCACTCACCACGCGTGGAGGGGGCACCGCCCTGGTCATCCAGGCATACGGGTAGGCAGCCCCCTGCGAGCAGTTCCAAACGAAGCTCTCCTCCCTGGGCTCGGATCGCAACGAGCCACCTCGGCACCAACCCTCGCCATCTTGGACCTCTCCTGGCTAGTCTGGTCAGTCACGGGAGGAGACCACGAAGGACGCCTAGGGGGTACGCAACCAGACCCGACGCAAGTGCTAGCCTTCCGCTTCGCGAGTATCACCCATGACCCCAGTATAAGGAGGGAAAGACTGGACGCAGACGATCCCTCCGTGGCGGAAAGGCAACTAGCGCGTCTCGAGTACGCCGCCATGGCGACCGCAGCACACCACTGCGACATAGGTATGGAACTTCCGAGTGGATACGACACAGACAGCATGCTCTCGCCCACCAGGCCTCCCTGTGACGCTGTGCCCTCGCACAGTAGCGGCCCTAACCGACCAGGCGGTACC